AGAACTCTGCTGGAGCGGCCTCCTGCGTTTGCGACACGGGCTTCGTACTGCAAGCCGATGGCCAGACATGCACTGGTATGAGGTGTTGCGTGCTGCTGTGTGCCCTGCTGTGTGTTTACCCTTGTATGCACTGGCACTGGTACATGCTGTGCTGGTGTAATGTGCTGCTGCAGATGAAAGCTCGGACAAACTAGTTGTGCCACTGGTCGCGATTTCTCTCACAACTGTTCATCTTTTGAGTAGACTCAGGTGTCTGCTGCTCTCTGAAAGAAGACCTGTAGTGTGAGAAGGCCCTTAACATCTGCAGTCCCTGTTGCTCCTCCCTCCCCTCCCCAGACGCATGTATGCTGCAGAAATGTGGTGGGAACGGCACGTGCAGCAAGAACTCTGCTGGAGTGGCGTCCTGCGTTTGTGACACTGGCTTCGTGCTGCAAGCTGATGGCAAAACATGCAAAGGTATGTGCTGCTGTGTGCTCCCAGTCACCCCCTCTCCCATTCCTTTATGAGTAAGCACTCGCTTTGCTCTAGATGTTCGTTGCTCTCGATTCCCCTCCGTCTCCATCCCTCTTCATCCCTCTCCATTCCTCTCCACTCCTCTCCACCCCTCCCACCCATCAGATACATGCATCATCAAGAGTTGTGATGCCATGCCGTGTCCAGCTGCACCAAGAAGATTTTAGTCAACCCATCCCTCTCCATCCCTCTCCATCCCTCTCCATCTTTAGATACATTGCATCACCATCAAGAGCTGTGTTGCTGCCGTTGCTGACTGCAACAAGGAGAATTGAGTTGACTCGTTAGTCGGCTCGAAAGGTTCAGCGCTCTCCATCCCTCCCCATCCCTCTCCAACCCTCTCCACTCCTCTACATCCCTCTCTATCCCTTCCTTCAGACACATGCGTCATCAAGAACTGCAGTGCCGGTGCCGACTGCATCAAGAGTGACGGCGTGGCATCCTGTGTTTGCAAGCCGGGCTACGAGATGGTTGGCACCACTTGCCAGGGTACGTTGTGATGCCGGCCCACTTGTCACGCACACGTGTTGCTCACTTGCCCCTTCAGTTTGTAATGAAATCCGCACCTCGCTCACCCCCCCGCTTTCCCTCTCTTGCTCTGTTTTGCTGTCTCTATGTCTTGCTGTCTCTCTGTCTCTCTATCTTGCTGTCTCTCTGTCTCTCTGTCTTGCTGTCTCTCTGTCTTGCTGTCTCTCTGTCTCTCTGTCTCTCTGTCTCTCTGTCTTTCTGTCTTTCCCCCGAGTGCCTTTCCTTGCTCATCTTTGTCCCTCCCTCGCCGCCTCTCAGACTACTGCGCCATTAACAAAGTGCAATGCTATGCTCACCAATTGTGCCATCGAGCCGATAAGTGAGAGGTCCTGTGCTTGCAAAGAGGGCTACCAGAACATCTCCGGCGCGTGTGTCGGTACGTTTTTTGGTGGCCTCAACCTTGTGAAGTCCGAGTGGACTCAAGGTGTTTTATGAGTAAACTCTAAGCATCCTTTGCTTGCGAAGCGGGCTGCCAGAACATCTCTGGCGCGTGTGTCGGTACATTCTACTGGCCTCCACTCACTGGTGAGGTTGTAACGATGTTACTTTTGAGTCAATTCTAAAGCCACCTTCGTCATTCACTATATTCTTCCCTTTTTCTGACCTCCCTTCCCAACTCACCCCTCTCTTCTCACCCCTCTCTTCTCGCCCCTCTCTTCTCACCTCCCCAGGGCCCGCCTTTTGTGGCAACTGCCCTACCAGCTCCATATGTGGTTCCTATTTTAGCGCTCCCTACTGCTACTGCGCTCCTGGCTACGGCCTCACCAGCACCGGCTGCCTCAAAGGTAAGTCCAACGGTGCTTGCCTCCTCGCTATGCCCAACGCTTACTCTGTATTTGAGGCATGCTCCAAGCTGCGTTTGCTTCTACGCTCCCGGCTATGGCTTGACCGACGCTGGCTGCATCCGTGGTAAGATCAGCGGTGCTTGCTTCCTCAATATGCCCGATGCTTCTTCCCTTCCCCCTCCCAGACGCCGCCCCCACCGTGTCGTCCACCAGCACCACCTTCTATGACCCGACAGGCCTTAGATTACACACCCTTGCCATTGAAGTTCCATCCCTCACGCCCTCTCCCCCCTCCCAGGCACTGCCCCCACCGTTTCATCCGCTACGACCAGCCCAGGTTCGTCCAAACCACCAGCACCTTCCCATCCTTCTTCCCCTGTGCAACCCCATTCCCCTCTCTCCCCCCTTACAGGCGCCGTCCCCACCGTCTCGTCCACCACCTTCACCTTCTACGACCAGCCCAGATTCGAGAGAACCCCTAACACCTACACCCTGCGCCTGGACTTCAACTCGTGCACGGACCTCTCTACTGCTGTGGCCACGGGCATCAAGTCGGCAGGGCAAGCTGATCGCGTGCCCGCTGGGGTGGGCGACTGCAGCACTGTGGTCGGGTACACGGAGGCAGGGTGTAAGGGTTCCGGCACCCCCATGCCGCCCCAACCTGGCACTGGCTTCAGCGCGTCTGGTATCCCGTGAGTCACCCACCCAACCTTGTTTGACATGCCGTGCACATTCTTCTGTGTACTGCATGCAGGCGTGCTTGCATTGGTGGCTGTTTTCTCCCTCCATCCAGCCGTTTTTGTTTTTTTCTCCTCTGTATTCGTATCCTCACCGCTCCTTCACCTGTGCTTGTTTTCCCATCCAACAGCAACTATCCCGGCGGATATCAGTACCGTTCCTTCAGCTGCGCTGGTCCTGGTGAGTGGTTAGGGAGGGAGACATGGGTACCATAGGCGCGTGTTGATTCGACTCAAAGTTGACTCAAAGGTGCTGGTCGTTTGAGTCTGCACTGTGCATGCTGGACAACTGCTGACGCCCACGACCCCGCCTGCATGCCCCCGACTCCCTTCACCCCTCCCCCTCACAGACCGGTGCACGCTCTTTGGCTGTGGTGGGAACGTCACATGCAAGATCGACACTGCTGGAGCGCCTACCTGCGTTTGCAATGCCGGTTATCTCCTGCAACCCGATAACAAGACATGCACTGGTATGTGCCGGTGTGTGCCGGTGTGTGCTGGTGTGTGCTGGCATGCGCTGCTGATATGTGCTGTTGTGTGCTGCTGTGTGCTGCACCTTCTCACCCTCTCACTTTCCCTCTCGTTCCTTCTATCTCCCCCCCCCCCTCTCTCTCGTGCTCTCCCTCTTGCTCATGTCTTACTCTTTTGTCCATGCCACCACCACCCGCTGTCCATCCACATTTAAAAGCTAGATCATGTGAAGTAAAATCAACTTTACCCCTTCCCTCAGATGGCTGCGGCCTCAAGGTCTGTGACATCAGCACTGATTGTGTGAAGTACGCTGCAGGCATGAGAAGGCAAGGCGAGAACAAGACTCTCTCCCACCAAACCCTCCATGATCCATCCACCCCTTCCCTCAGAGGCCTGCGGCCTCAACATCTGCGACATCACTACCGATCGAGTCAAGGGCGTTGCAGGCATGGCGTGCTCTTTATAGACATGCAATGCACGCGCCTGACTCCCTTGCTCAATGCCCCCCCTGCATCCACCCCTTCCCCCAGATGCCTGTGGCTCCAAGGCCTGTGACGTCACTACTGATTGTGTCCTGGACGCTGCAGGCGTGGCATCCTGTGTTTGCAAGGCGGGCTACCAGAACATCTCCGGCGCCTGTGTCGGTACGTTCTACTCGCCGCCACTCACTTGTGAGGTTGTAACGAGGTGCTTTTGAGTCGATTCTAAAGCCACCTCGATCATTCACTATCGTCTCCCCTTGTTCTGACCTTCTGCCTTGCTTCTGCCTTGCTTCTCTTCTCACCCCTCTCTTCTCACCCTTCTCTTCTCATCTCACCTCTTGCTTCTCTTCTCACCCCTCTCTTCTCACCCTTCTCTTCTCATCTCACCTCTTGCTTCTCTTCTCACCCCTCTCTTCTCACCCTTCTATTCTCATCTCACCTCTTGCTTCTCTTCTCACCCCTCTCTTCTCACCCTTCTCTTCTCATCTCACCTCTTGCTTCTCTTCTCACCCCTCTCTTCTCACCCTTCTCTTCTCATCTCACCTCTTGCTTCTCTTCTCACCCCTCTCTTCTCACCCTTCTCTTCTCATCTCACCTCTTGCTTCTCCTCTCACCCCTCTCTTCTCACCTCCCCAGGGCCCGCCTTTTGTGGCAACTGCCCTGCCGGCACCATATGTGGTTCCTATTTTGGCACTCCCTACTGCTACTGCGCTCCCGGCTACGGCCTCACCAGCACCGGCTGCCTCAAAGGTAAGTCCAACGGTGCTTGCCTCCTCGCTATGCCCAACGCTTCCTCTGCGTGCTCCGATCCAAGCTGCTCTCGCTTCTGGCCCTCCCGGCTATGACTTCACCAGAGGTGGCTGCATGCGTGGTAAGACCAATGCGACTCGTGTTCTATTAATGCACCCTCCCTCACGTAGTTTGTTATTCTAGTTGGATTCAAGCTATTCACCTCATTCTTTTCCCTGCCCCTCCCCATTCCCCTCTGCTCGCTCCCATTCTCCTCTGCTCACCCCTCTACGTTCTCCTCCCTCTCCAGGCGCCGCCCCCACCCACCTGTCTCACCCACCATCTCGCCCACCATCTCGCCCACCATCTCGCCCACAGGCTTCACCTTACATCCCACCCCCTTGTCCCTTGTTGCTTTTGCTCATTTGTGTTAACTTGGTTGGCTTGTTTTTGTTTTGCAAATTTTTGACAAATGTTCACTATAATCTTAGCTTTGTTTGCATCATATTTCCTTCATCACCCGAATAGAAGGCAGTAACGAGTAGAAGACGAGTATCTTTTATGCGGGTGTTTTCTTATATATGAATGGAACTTTGAAGGATAAGGTTGCTGTTCCGAAAATAACGCTTCTTTTCTGCACCATAGATAGGGTGTAGCAGCACTCTGAAAGCGAGTACAGTTTTGGTATGTCGGATTTCCCAAGGCGATCTGCCTCGAATCTGACAACTGACTGAAAAGCGCGGGAAAGTTCTGACAGCATGTGCTGACACCTGCATACCACTTCAGCAGTTTGAACGACAGCTCTTCACCACGCGTGCGCATGCCGCAGTGCCGCAATGCCGATGCTCTGTAACAGCGGTGATCGCTAGAGATCGGAACATCGTACGGTAGCCTGCCTTTCTTACCTTTCTTCTCCGCCTCTATACCTTCGAGTTTCGCGAATTCGCGAAGTTCGCGACGTCTTCTTTTGAGTTTCCGGTCCTTGTGCGACGATGGGCGACCCGCTTTCCGCACGGCTTCGCAGATTCGTCGAGTCCACTCACGCCCTGATCCGTGCCGCCACCGCCATTCCCTCCCCGACGCTTCGTCGTCCCCAGGATTCAGACGGAACGTTGACGGAATCCGTCAGAACGAGATCTTCCCATCAGTCCGATAACAAGGATCTCGTTCCCTCCGCTCCGCATGAGGACGTCGCGTCGAGGGATTGCCGTGACGACGCTATTAACGGATACGCTACTATCGGAGCTGCTGCCGCTGACGAGCAGGATGCAGACGGCACTGAGAGGGCTCGTGCGGGTCTGGTAGACGCGGCGGAAGCGGTAGTGGCGGAGGCGGAAGCCATGGGGCGGATGTTGACGGGGAGGGGGGAGACGGCGGGGGAGGAGCCGCCGGGTAGGCGGAGGGGTAGCAGGGGAGGGGGGAGGGGTGCGCGGGGGAGCTCGAGGCGTGGGGAAGGGCCGAGCGGAGTGGAGGGCATGACTGTTGGAAGTGGGGGAAACGGGAAGCACGAGGCGGAAGGCGCGAAACCGATGCCTGATATTCCTGATGACGTCATCGTGCGATCTCTAGAGGTAGAGAGGGAGAGAGCGAGAGAGGGAGAGAGGGAGAGACGGGGCCAGACGAGGCGACTTTGGAGGGTCGATGCTTGGTGGTAGATTAATGAGATTCGCTGTCAGGAGGCCGCCGGACTGGGCTGTGCGCAGTGCAGGGGCCTGTTGTAATCAGATTGTCGCTTGCCGCTCCTCTCCCTCCCGTGCCACCTGCTGAAACTGCCACCTGCTGAGCCTGCCCCATCAGCAATGCTGTGAGGAACAGGGGGAGGATGGTCCCACAGACTGCCTGTCCCTGTTTGAATCCTCTCGCCCGTTCTCCCTGTTCCTCACATGCACATCCGCAGGCCGTCGGTCAGAGCATCTCAGCCGTCCATGCGCTGCTTGCGTCGAATCAGAGCCATCGTTGGGCTGCAAGCCTGCATCAGCTGCCTGCTAGCATCGACGCTGTTGTGCGGATAAGCAGGTAGTGCACCATGGGCCTGTGAGATGTATATGACACGCGGTATATGTGTCTGGCACGTGTTTCATGTGTCCTTTGCATGCCACGTGTACACTGTGTGCCACGTCTACACTGTGTCCCATTTGTGCCATGGTAGATAAGTGCAGCACCGCTTCTCTCCATCTCTCACCCTCCCTCTGCCCCCCCAGGACCATGCATGCACTCCTCGTTCCTTCATCTCGCCTCTCCCTCTTTCTACTATTCCCTGCCCCCTCCCCCCCCCAGGACCATGCGTCCGCTCCTCTCCTTGCTGCTCCACCTGCTGACTCTCGCACCTCCCCCAGTCGCCACGTCATTCTGCCAGTCACAGGTGCGCCTTGTAGCCAGCGCAGCCGTGCATTATAAGGAGTACAGCCTTGCCTGGATTCAAATGCAGCCTTGGCTGTTGAGGAGGAGCATATGTGCTCAAGCATGCTTCCTGAGTGCGGCTGTCAAAGGCCTGCTCGTCTACCTCTTAAGATCGCCTCGCCTTTGGTCGTCCCTTTGTTTTCTCCTTCCTATGAACGTCTTGGCCTGTTAGAAGGTCGTTTACTCATCCCGGTATCCCCTAGTGTCGTGTCCCAGACGTCTTCCCCCCTGCCATACGCATCCTCACCTCGCTCCTCTCAGCGGGCCCGCATCAACACGTCTTCCTCCTCCTGCTTTAAGAATCTCATCTTCCTCTTTCCCATTCCCTGCCCTCTCCCCATCTCCCTCATTTCCCCATCTCCCTCATTTCCCCATCTCCCCCATTTCCCCATCTCCCCCATTTCCTCATCTCCCATCTTCCCAGGCGTCCTCCCTGCTGCCCATGCTCACCTCGCTCCTCTCTGCGGGTCTGCATCAGCACCTCTACCACCGCCTGCACCAACAAACGCGCCTGCTTCACACCTCCACTTCCTCCCCCTCCTCCTCTGCCCCTCCCTCTCGCCCCTCCTCAACCCTTTCCTCCCCCGCCTCCTCCCCCTACAAGCCCCCCCACCTCCGATCCCGTAGTGCTCAAGCCCCACCCGCTGTCTCTCCAGCCTTCTCCTCTCTGCCGTCCATTCTGCCACCAGCCGCAGCAGCGACTTTACCAGTAGTAGCAGCAGCGGCAGTAGCAGCACCGCCATCATTGCTCGCAGCAGGCATGGAAGGTGCAGCGGGCGCATCTTCCCACTGGCTCGAGCTTTCTTTGCATGGCAGGGCTGCTGGGACCAGCAGCTGGGGGTATTTCCCCTCGGAAAATGCGGACGGGAGGGGGTCTGGATCGGAGCAGAGTGAGGAGGAGGAGGGGTGGGGGGGGGAAAGGGGAGGGGGAGGAGGAGGAGGTGGGTGGGGCGGGCGGGGAGGGGATGGGAGGAGGGGAGGAGGGGGCGTGGAGGCGAGGAAGCTGAGAATAGCCGCTCTCACATGCATCAAGGTGGGTTACTGTTCCGTTTCTTTCGTTGGTCTTCGTCCTCCCCTTCCACGGCCCCCCTCTGCCCTCATCACTGCATCAGAGCATGGCTGGCTGGCATGTGTCCCGACGCGTTGCACGCACACGGGCCCATGCTCTCCCCACACTTGACAAACCCTCTTTCAAGTGATGCCAGAGCATGGCTGGCATGTGTCCCAACCCAAGGCGCTCCATGCACACTGGGCCGTGCTCTCTTCCCTCACTCCTGCAACCCTCCCCCATATGCCTTCCCTCCTTATGTCAACGCTTCTCCTTCCCTCTTTCCTTGGCATCAGAGCATGGCTGGCGTCTGTCCCAGGGAGCTGCATGCACACTGGGCCGTGCTCTTCCCTCACTCCTCTGCTGCCACCCCTAGGTATGTCTCGCATAACATGCTCGTTTCGCTCTTTTTATCAAGTTCCCGCTGCACTCGTGTTGCCTTTCCTGATTGGAATATATACTGTCTTGCCGTGTGTTCTTGGCGCCATTCTGTGTTCTTGCTGTATTACTTACTGCCTTCCCTCTCACGTGCCTTGTGTGGCCCCATTACCAGGCCATCAGCCTCATCCCTCCTAGCGCCTCTGCACTGCGACCCATCCCCCAAGGTGAGGCACGTTCCTCACTCCTTGGCTCGCGCCTCATCCCCACCTTCCTCCATGCCACTCCCACTTCTACCCGCCCCCCACTGCACTGCACACACCCCGTCCGCCCCCTCCCCCCATCCCTTCTCCCTCCAACACGGGCATACGTCTTCGCATGTGCAAGTGGTAGTGGGGAAGGCTGTCTTCTTCCCCCATCGTCACCCTCACTATCCTCCGGATCCCCCTTCTGTCTCCTATCTTCGCTTTCGCCCCTCCCTTCTCCCTGGCAGCAGCTCAGGCCTTCTCCTCCCTCCTAGACTGCAATCTTACCCTCCTCACCTTCCTCCCATTCCTGTGTTGACCCCTCTCCTCTCTCTCAGGTGCGAGTGGCAGCAGCCCAGGCCCTCTCCTCCCTCCTCGAATCACCCCTCACCCTCACCGTTCTCCCTATCCCCCTTGGCCGTCTCCTCTCCCCACATTCCCCCTTCCCTTCCACCATTCCGGGAGCAGGTGGCAAAAGCTCAGGCCCTCTCCTCTCTCCTTGACTCCCCTCTCACCCTCACCGTCCTCCCCTGTACTGCTGTCTCTGCCCACTACCTTACTCCCCGCCCCTTTCCCCCCCCTAATCTATGTCAGGTGCGACTGGCAGCAGCCCAGGCCCTCTCCTCTCTCCTCGACTCCCCTCTCACCCTCACCTTCCCCCACCGACCCCCTGCTTCCGCCCCTCCCTTCCCCTCCCCCCCTCTCTCTCTGTCTCAGGTGCGAGTGGCAGCAGCACAGGCACTCTCCTCCCTCCTGGACTCCCCTCTCACGCGCACCTTCCTCCACCGTACTGCAGCCTCCGCGCCCTCCCCTGCCGCTGCTGGCCCGCGTACCCCTGGCAAGAGGACAGGGCGAGGGGCAGGGGGGTTGAATAGTGGTGGTGGTGCTGCTGCTGGTGACGGCGGTGATGGTGCTGCTAGCAGCAGCGGTGGCGGCGGCAGTCGAGCGTCCTTCATCTCTCTCTCAGCAGTGCTGGCAGACAGTCTTATGGATATGCACACTGGTGTGTTTTGTATGCCCATCAACCCCCTGACTCTCCTTGTCCACACACTAGTTCGTCCTCCCCCTGTTCACCCTCCCTCTGGCTAGCCATGTCAGCCTCCTCGGACCATACCCTTTGTTTAACCTTATCCATCCATCGAATCCCACCTCCTCCTCCATAGCAGGAATGTTGCGCCATGAACAGTACCTCCAACCCTGTCCCCCCTCACTTCCTGTGTATACACACATGCTTGCCTTTTGGCTAGTCACTCAATCACTTTCAGTTTCTGTCACTCAATCCCCCAGCATGAGAATGAACTCTAAACCCTAACCCTAGACCGCAAACCCCACTCTCTCTAATCCCCAGCCACGGCAGGAGCCACGGCACGCGATGTGCAACCCATCGCTGCCTGCACTAGATCGCTTGAACGCGTGCACCCATGCAACCCTCCCTATACCCCCCCCACCCCTTACCTCCTTCGTCCAGCCGTGGCAGGGTGCTGCAGCAGGAGCCGGACCCATGCCCTGGCACTCGGTGACTTTCCAGTCGACTCAAAAGCGCATCCCTGCAACCCTTCCCCCCCCTACCCCCCCCTCCCCCTTCTTCCATCCAGCCGTGGGAAGGGTGCTGCAGCAGGAGCAAGACCCCTGGACCCTGTCGCTCACATGCAAGCTGGCGTCCCTGCTGGCACAATGCACACCGTAAGATGTGTCCTTTTGAGGAGCAGGGCCATTGCCTTGCACCCTGTGAGTCACCCACCACATCATGCAAGCTGGTGTCCCTGCTGGCTCTTGACTAGAACAGTCTGCTTTTGAGTCTAGTCAAAAGCAGACTCCCTAGACACGGTTTTTATACTGACAATACACATGCAATGCAAGCTTGGGACTCTGCTAACACTTGACTAAAGCAATCCGCCTTTTAACTCAAATTGCCCTTAATCAACTTGCTGCTTGCACCCCTCTCTGCCCCATTACAGGTACCCTCGCCTTCGCTCGTCCCCTCATTTGAGTCACATACTGCCATCCGCTCTAGTTACTCGGATCTCATCTCTCCTCTCGCCAGGCCCCCTGTCCTCCTCTTCCTGGTCCACCAACATGTCTTATAGCGAGGATGGAATCTCAACTGCCTCTGTAAGTAACAAGTGCATAAACAGGTTTTTCTATGGAAGTATGTTCATATGCGTGTGCCTCTGTGTGTGCCTCTGTGTGTGCCTCTGTGTGTGCCTCTGTGTGTGCCTCTCTGTGTGTGCCTCTGTGTGGTGCCTCTGTGTTTGCCTCTGTGTGTGCCTCTGTGTGTGCCTCTGTGTGTGCCTCTGTGTGTGCCTCTGTGTGTGCCTCTGTGTGTGCCTCTGTGTGTGCCTCTGTGTGTGCTTCTGTGTGTGTGCCTGTGTGTGTGTGCGCACATGGGAGCCAGCGAGCCGAGCTCTATTGAATGATTTCGTCGTCATTTTTTATCGAAATGTATGTGGGTGAATGCGTGGTGGGTGGGTGTGTGGGTGCGTGGTGGGTGGGTGGGTGGGTGGGTGGGTGGGTGGGTGGGTGGGTGTGTGGGTGCGTGGTGGGTGGGTTGGTGGGTGGGTAGGTGGGTGGGCTGGGTGGGTGGGAGCATGCATGCGGGGATGCAGGCAGCCACAGCAGCGGCGGCCATTGCATCACTGGGCCATGTCCTCTCTCGCTCCACGCTCCCTCCTCCCCAGCCTGCCTCCTCAGCAGGTGGGTTGCCCTCTCCCTGGTGATCCATCTGTAAAGCTTATAAACCTATCTCTAATAAGCGGCTTGTATGTTTTCCTCCCATGTTGCGCCTCTGGGATCACTGAGAAGTGCAGCCCCTCGCCACTGGTTTTGTAGTCCTCTAGAACCAGCCCACACACACGTCCAGTCCAGCCCTCCCAGTCCGCCTTCCCCCAGGCAGCAGCGCCCCATGGACCATCATTCTCACGTTTCCCAAGGCATGGGGTGGCTGGCAACCGTGCTCCAAGGTGTACTCCGATCTGCCCCCTCTGTTGTTCTCCCCCTCCCCCAGGCAGCAGCGCCCCATCGACCATCATTCTCACGTGTCTCAAGACGTGGGTGCAGCCCTGCATTCCCACTGCTGTTCGGGTGGAAGCCCTTCAGGTGCGGGTGTGTGCGCTTGCCCGCGTGTCTGTACGTGTGCGTCCTCAGCAAGCAGGAAGGTGCGCCTCATCTGATAGGAGTCTAGTTTTGAGGCGCCTCAAAACTAAACTCCTATCACGCGGTTTTGAGGCGCCTCAAAACTAGACTCCTATCATGCGGTTTTGAGGCGCCTCAAAACTAGACTCCTATCACGCAGTTTTGAGCCGCCTCAAAACTGTCTGTACGTGTACGTCCTCAGCAAGCAGGCAGCAGCGCCTCATCATCCATCATTCGGACGTGCCTCAAGACGTGGGTGCAGCCCTGCATTCCTACCGTTGTTCGGGTGGAAGCCATGCAGGTGTGCGCCTTGGCAGAGCTCATTGTCTTGCCTCCATAGAAACGCGTCTTCCTCATATTTCCACTCTGCTGAGCCTTCAAGCCACTTGGCTCTGGTTACGTTTCCTCACTCTCGTTACATCTCCTCACACTCGTCGCATCTCGTCACACTCTTTACATCTCCTCACGCTCGTTACATCTCGGCACACTCGTTACATCTCCTCATGCTCGATACATCTCCTCATGCTCGTTACATTTCCTCACGCTCGTTACATCTCCTCACGCTCGTTACATCTCCTCACGCTCGTTACATCTCCTCACGCTCGTTACATCTCCTCACACTCGTTACATCTCCTCACGCTCGTTACATCTCCTCATGCTCGTTACTTCTCCTCACTATGGCTACAGTCCCTTGCAGATCCCACCAAGCCAACTGTCTGAAGGTTGTGCCTGCCAGGGCCCTTCTTCTGTCCTCACTCTTGATTCCTCCCCCCCACTCTTCCAATTATTAATCATTTCCCATAATTCTTCCCCTCCCCCCTTCCCCATCCCTGCTTATTTCCCTCCCATCCTTTCCCCCAGGCTCTAGCAGCGTGGGTGTCCACATTGTTCTCATGATTCTTCCCCTCCCCCAGCATCTGCTGCCGGACCTCTCTGGTTTGACTCGCCACCCTCCTGACCTCCTTTCCTTCCCACCCCTCTTTCGTTCTCTCCCATCCTTCCCCTCAGGCACCACCACCCTGACTGTTCACACTCACTCACTCCACATTCACTCCCTCTGCTGCCGAATCCCTCGGGCATAACCCCTGCACCTTAATCACTTTCTTTTTCCCTCCTGTCAACCTCCCTCGTGCATTTCTTCTCTCCATATTCTCCCTCAGGCACTAGCAGCGTGGGTGTCCACATTCCCTGCATCTGCTGCTGAACCGCTCTGGTCTGACCTCTTCGCCCTCGTTACACTCACACTCACCTCCTCAAGTCCCACGGCCACAGACAACACAGCAATAAATGATCGCCGCGTCGGTGCGCAAGACAAGCTGTCTGCAGGGGAGGGCGAGGCTGCTCTTCCTGGTGCCACCGACCGACTTCACCCCGCAGCTCTCAAGGTGTGCCGCACTAGGTGTGCCCCACTAGGTGTGCCCCACTAGGTGTGCCCCACTAGGTGTGCCCCACTAGGTGTGCCCCACTAGGTGTGCCCCACTAGGTGCGCCCCACTAGGTGTGCCCCACTAGGTGTGCCCCGCAAAGTATGCCCCTCTTGCCTCGTGACCCTCACCCATATCAGCATCACGCAAGCTAAGCTCTCTGCAGCCCGCACTGCAGCCCATAAGGTGTGCTCCCGACATTTCAAGGTAGTGTGGCCCAAGACCACAGAAATCTGGGTGTCTAGTGATTGCCACGTCAGCAGCATGCAACCAATCTCTTGGCAGCCCCCAGCTTTCGTATTGTGCACTGTAGTGTGCCCCGGAAGTTGCGCCCCCGGTGCAGTGCAGCATATTCTGCTCTTGTTTAGCTCCTGTTTAGCAGCTGTGGTTCTGAGCTCACGTTTGAGATGCCGCAAAAACCTCATCGGTGCTTGTCCTGTGTCCCTCTTCCTTTACTACAACCCTCAACCGACGCCCTGCCTCTGCCTGCATTCGGCTGTGGACCCACTCCCATTCCCACTCCCACTCCCACTCCCACTCCCACTCCCACTCCCACCCCCACTCCCACGCCCTCTACCACAGCTGCTGGACCAACTGCTCGCTGCAGTGACACGCGGCGCTGAAGCAGGCTCCGCCTCTGCTGGCTGTTCACGGCAGCAGGAAACAGAACTGGGAGGTGGGGGTGGTGGGGAGGGGGACGAGGAGGGCGGAGACAGCATGAAGCGGCAGCTGAAGGTCACGTGGAACACTCGGCAGCGACCGTCTCCTGTCTGCTCTTGCTCTTGCTCTTGCCGCCGGGGTTTTTGCACCTTGCCCCAGCAGCAGCAGCAGCAGCCAGGTTCTGTTGCAATCTCTCCAGCCAGTGCAGCGATCTGCACTACAACCTTCTCCGATGCAGTATCTACCTTTGCTAAAACCTTTAGCCCGGACTCGGTCCCTGCTACAGCAGCTTGTGCACCTCCATCCCCGTCAGCATCAGCATCTGTAACATGTGCTGTGACTTGTGCAGAAGACGATTGGCGACCCTCATCCAATCAGCTGATGCCACGTGCCCCTCCCCTTGGTGCGGTGCAAGGGGCGGAGAATGGACTAAGCTCCCCTTCCGGTGCCTCACAGTGGGCCCAAGTGCTCCGCCTGGGCCTGTTACCGCCCCTCCTGCGACACGCCTTGCCTCCGGTAAGACCCGCGAAGGTCACTTCCAGTAAGGAACGAGGCACAGGCTGGGTAAGGCCCGCCCTTTGAGGCGTCTCGGAAACCGCGAGGCATGGGCTGAGTACGACCCACCGATTCTAATCACTGCCTCTCCGCCTCTCCTGTGGCATCCTTCTGCCTCTGAGGCACGAGGCATTGGGCTGGGCATGCTTCCTCGAATGCTCATGGTTGATGATGGGAGGCATGCACCTCACATGTGGGTTTAGGATGATGGTTGCAGCTTCCCCCAAAGTTGGCATTGACTGGCATCCTAACCACACCACCCTCCACCACCTTCTAACCACCTTCCAACCACTGCCATTAGCCACAGATTTCCATGTTTCACCATCCCCTCCCTTCCTTTCCACCCTTCACCCGCCCACACCCTGTCAGGTCCGCAGCACAGCATAGCATAGCATAGCACAGCACAGCACAGCACAGCACAGCATAGCACAGTACAGCACAGCATAGCACAGCACAGCACAGCACAGCACAGCACAGCACAGCACAGCACAGCACAGCACAGCACAGCACAGCACAGCACAGCACAGCACAGCACAGCACAGCACAGCACAGCACAGCACAGCACAGCACAGCACAGCACAGCACAGCACAGCACAGCACAGCACAGCACAGCACAGCACAGCACAGCACCGCACAGCACTGCACCACTCACATAATTCCTGCTCATGCCACCACCCATCCTGTAGTACCGTTTTGTAGAGCCATTCCTATTCGCCATTCCTATTCGCCATTCCTATTCGCCATTCCTATTCGCCATTCCTATTCGCCATTCCTATTCGCCATTCCTATTCGCCATTCCTATTCGCCATTCCTCTTCTCCTCAGCCCCTTCCCCCCGACTCCCTTCGCCCCTCCTGTCACGTCCACATAGCATAGCATCGCTCACATGCTTCCTGCACACCCCCCACCCACCCTCCTCTACCTTTTTCTCCTGTGTTTCCTAATCACCACTCTTCTCCCTCTCCTCCGTCATGCTCTGCTGCCTCTCTCCAGGTCGGCATAGCAGCGCTCACATGCTCCCTGCACATCCCACCACCCACCCCTGCCTTCCTCAATCATCTTTCATACTCACCATTCCTTCCCCTCCATTCCTCCCCTCCATTTATCCCCCCTAAATCCTTCCCCCCCTCCCTCCCCTCCTCTCAGGTGCGCATAGCAGTGCTCACGTGCTTCTTGCACATGCCAGCACCCACCTTGCAGTACCTGTCCCACATGCATGACGTCATCTTCCAGCCAATGGTAAGCTGCCACGTGCCCACCTTTCCAAACCGCACATGCCTATCCCACACACTTTCTCTGCCTGTGAGGTCCGCGCCTTGCTGCTCTGCCATGCGTTGACCATGCCAGGAAGGAACCGCTCATTTTCCGAGACGTAAAGAAGAACGTAACTGGGGAGGGGACGAAGCTGCACCGTATCCCCTTTGAGTTTCCTTTTCGTTTCTTGTATGACTTGTTTTCTTTTTCTTCTTCCTCTCTGATCCCCCTCGCCATTCCTTTCGCCCCTCAGTTCGCCCTTGCAGCAAGCGAGTCCGTGCCAGCAGTGCAAGCCGCTCTCATGAAACTCTTTGGAACCATTCTGCTGCACCTCATGCCTCCTGGATGGGAGCGAGACTTGAACATGTCCTCCTCCTCATCATCATCATCCTCCCCCTCCTCCTCCACCGTACATCTTTTCATCCATGGGGGGGTGTTGCTGCTGCAAGCCTGCTCGTCTCCGTCTCTCATTGTGAGCACCTTGACCGAACAGAAAGTGAACATTCGAGAGACTTTCTCATGTGGGAAGCTTTGCATCGCGTCGCGTCACACGCTGCAGTCTGCTTAAGTGCTCCAACTTCCTCTTTCTACATGCATGCGCCTGTCTGTTCTTATATATTCCCACCTGCGCCCTTTCCCCCTCACATCGCACCCATCCTTCTTCCTTTCCCTTCTCCCCTCCCCCCCCCCCCACACCCTCCATTCTCGTTCTCAGGTCCGCTCAGCTGCAATGTGGTCCCTGGCCAATCTCTCAGAGCGACTGCCGCCCATGCACTGTAGCACAGTGCACTGTAGCAGCGTGCACTTTAATGGTGTGCACTGTTGTAGTGTGCACTGTAATGGTGTGCAGTGCACTGGTGTGCCCCATACTCCTTATAAGCATGCTCAAGAGCTGAATGTCTGGTGGAGTGCATTGGATGTTGAAGCCCTAGCCAATGCTGCAGTGAGAGGGGCGGGCGACAATGACAAGGTATGACTGGTAGAGAACAAAGTCCCCAATCCCATAGTCGTCTCCATCATCTTCACTCCCATATATGTGTTTATCTGTGTGTGTGTGTCCGTGTGTGGCGGTCTTACATCTTCCCTCCCCCTTCACTTCCAGGTTCTAGCCATTGAAGTTTGATCGTACTTTTCTCTTTTTTTCCTCCGGCCCCCACCCCCCCCATTTCATGTGCACCTTTCTCCCCCTCCCACCGCTCTTAGGTCAGAACCAACGCTTTCCTGTTAGGTTCTCTTGCGCCACTCCCCCATGCTCTCTTCCCCTCCCCCCCCCCCTCTCCCACCCCTCTCAGGTCAGAGCCAGTGCGGTTCGGCTACTGGGTTCTCTCGCCCGCTCCTCCTGCTTCTGCCGCCGCTGCTCTGCTTCTGCGGGGATTACCGTGAGCAGCGGCACGGGCATTGTAACCTGTGGCTCAAACAGGTTGTCCAGCGAAAGCGGTGCAAACAGTGACAGCAGCGACGGAGTTGCCGCCACAGAATTGCGGGAAGCTGGAGCGCAGCAGCCGGGGGGGGGGAGGGAGGAGGGGGGCGTGTGGCAGGGACGTGCGGTGGAGGCCATATTGTCATGCGCAGTACAGACAAACCCCAAGGTGAGTAACGGCATTCCAAGAGTGTGTGCTGGGGGCAGGAGTCGAGTAGGGGAAACACTAGGCTTTTCCACTTTTTTCCTCACCGTTTTTTCCTCCTTCCACTCATGTTCTTTCTTTCGTTCTCGAGCACGTGCAGTGGAGTGTGTGCATGGCCCCCTCTCTTTTGCTTGTCCATTCTCGAATGGCCCTCTTTCACTCTCTAACTCCCTCCCTCGCTCCTTCCTCGCTATCCCCCTTCCCCCCCCATCATCCATGACCCTGTGTCTTGTGCAATGGAGTGTGTGCACGTCTCTCTCTCTCTCTTTCTTCCTCTCCCTCTCTCCCCTTCACTCTTCTCGCTGTCACTCTCCTTCCTCCCCCCTCTCTACCATGCACAGGTGCAATGGAGTGTGTGCACGGCATTGTCTCTCTTCCTCCGAAACCCCTCCGTGCATCTCCCATCCTCTCCATGGTAAGTGCGGTTAAGTTGGCTAAAAATTCGCTCCGTGCATCTCCCGTCCTCTCCACAGTAAGCCAATCGTAATTGCAATGGCAACGAGCAGAGCTTAACAGAACAGAGGCACATAACAGAGCCTTTTCACCTTTTCGTCCACATTTAAGAGTGGTTTCTTTCTACCATCCACCCCCTCCCCCACGGCAACAGGTCTGCTCCCGTCCTGCGCACATTGCAGAGTCTCTTCACCCGTTCGTCGAATTTCAAGATCCGTATACATGCTGCGGCCGCACTGATTCAGCCATGGAACAGGGCAGGTGAGACCTGGCGCAGGTTTTCTTGCTTTTGCTTGGGCGGCGGTGACTACAATCGAATCGCAACCCTCTTTGTTAAAAAAACCACTATGGTCTTCTCTCTAAACACAATCTGCTCTTGTTGAAGCCGACCTTTGGCAACAAAACATTATATTTTTTATTGACCCTAAAGTCTTTCCTGTCGCCACTGTTTGATTTTGCTGAAGCCACAAAAGTCTTCTCTAACCCTTGGAAAATTGCAGTCCCACTCTTTCATGTGTCAAAAACAGCGACCCGCATTTCGCTCTCCCCGTTTCCTGCACACCCCACTCCTCGCCTCTCCGTTCTCCCTTATTTTGTGAGACGTAACTATTCCCCCTCCCGTCTCTCCTCCTCACCCCGCCTCTCTCCGCCCGCCTTTCCTGCTGACCCCGAGCAGGCTATGGCCAGGAATACACTTCCCATTCTGGTAGCCCTCGTGTCGTCCTTGGCGTCACGCCATGCGTGAGACGAGTTTAGGTTTGAGCCGTCTCAACACCCATTCTACCTCCCCGAACCCACGCACCCTCTCCTCTTTCCCTCGAGCACCAGACTATGGTTCGGAATACATTCCTATCCTGCTCGACCTTGTGTCGTCCCTGGCATCTCTCGATGAATCAGAGGAGCAGCAGAGCGCAGTGGAGCAGTGGTACAAGCCAGTGCTGATGGATCAGGTACGGTTCCAGGGTGAATGGAGCAGGTAGCGCGCGCTGATTACACCAGTGGGGCTAGGTGGCGGTCACAATGGCAGTAGTGTTGCGCGCGTACAGGAGTGGCAGTGTACGGAACAGTGATGTCACAGTCGGACGAGCAGGGGGTTTAGGGTAGCAGCAGAGCAGCGGTGCAAGCCGGTGCTGATGGATCATGTACGGTTCGGGGGGAGGACAATGCTTGTGGGACAGTTAGCAGGTATGGCATTGTGTTGCATGGGCAAGCAGGGGAGTGCAGTGGAGCAGCGGTGCAGATCGATCAGGTAATGGGTTGAGCGATAGAGGTTGGGATGAGGTAATGGATAGTTACTGCCCATATTGATGCTGTTGCATGCTCCATGCATCCGACAGATAGTAGAGTGCAGTGGTATCTAATTTGCTTTCGTGGCGTGTGCCTAGGTGCTGCTCAGTGTTGGCTTGGCTTGTGCTCCCGTGCTTCTCCCAAGTGTATCACATCTGGTTCCAGGCATGTGCAAGGCAGCACGCATCATGAGAGATGACGTGTTCGTATGTCTTACCCTCCTTGAAGCTGGCTCATCACGTGATGCACCCTGCATCTGCATCACGTGATGCACCCTGCATCTGCATCACGTCTTGTGCACGGCAGATCGCAGCAACTCTGTTGCACATGGCCTTGCGCGCACCCCCTGAGACCCTGACAGTCGTCCGGCCGCTATTGCAGCAGGTATGTTGGCTGCCAGGTGCCTGTGCGTCAGAAGCCTAATTCTTGAGGCATGTAGCGTGCATGCTGCCAGGGTTCTGTTTGAAGCATTCGCTATTCCGCCTGCTGCCAATGCAGCTACCTTACCAACCCGAAACCCTAGCCTTCACACAATAGCGCATTCCTGCATTCTTCTGTTCCAAGCCAGGTCTAAACCCTCCCCTGTGCCCCTCTTATTCTTGCACTGGCCCTGACCCTACCCCAAACCCTATTTCCAGCATGCATCGTGCATATCTCGCGCTATTGAATCCGCGCGCTCAACTGCACTTCGTGCCGCGACCCATTCCATCCCCGCTACAAGCATCTTCAGCCATCCGTTGGCTTCGCAATCTCCTCCGGCTGCTCCTTTGGTCCATTTGCCTGCCACTATCTGCACCCACCAACCTCCCAAGCTGTCCCAGCACTCCCATCATGAGCATTCCTCAGAGCACAAGGTCAAACCAGAAATTATAATTGCTGCTGCTCATGGTGATGGTAATGATACATGTGGTGCTCCTGGCAGTGCAGCAGCTGCTGCTGCTGCTGCTGCTCCTGACGTTGCTGGATGCGGTACTATTGGGCGAGATTGTGGGGATGTGTCCTCATTGGCATCATCCTCCCCATCTGGTCATGGTAAATTGGCGTCAAGAGTGAGCGGCATGGGTATGTGTTGCCATAGTGAACCAGCAGCAAGTGAGACGGAGGGGATTGACGACTTACCGGTAGGAAACTTAATGGCCCTGTTGCGAGATGTGGATGCTGATGAGAAGGTCGTGTTGGATTGAGTTTTGAAACCCATCGTGCAATGCTTATGGAACATGCTTGTCGCTGCAATAAGAATAACAGTGGTTACACAGTAGAGGATCAAACCCAAACCACCAATATGGATTAGAATACGAACACTTACTCCACAATCAACTCTCTCGGCCTTCATCGTCATTCCAACTAGTGTCAAACATTTGTATATCTAATGTTTGTATAGACTGTATAGGGTCACCTCTTAGAGAGTACAACCCTTAGATATGTATGCTTGTACCCAGGTTCTCTACTCATTCAATTACTCAGTTCTAAGATGGTATCAGCAGTAGGTAGGTCCCGCCGCCCGCCCACGCTTCCGCCCTAGGCCCTAGCCGCCCCCGCGCCCGTCCTAGTCGACCCCGCGCCCGTCCTAGCCGCGCCCGCGCGCCCGTCCTAGCTGCGCCCGCCGCGCCCATCCTATCGGCCCCCGCGCCCGTCCTAACGGCCCCCGCGCCCGTCCTCACAGCCCCTGCGCCCGTCCTAGCTGGCTCGCGCCTGTCCTAGCTGCCCCCCCCCCCCGCGCCCGTCCTAACGGCCCCCCGCGCCCGTCCTAGCCGACCCCGCGCCCGTCCTACTGGCCCCCGTGCCCGACCTAACGGCCCCCCCGCCCGTCCTAGCCACCCCCGCGCCCGTCCAACCGGCCCCCGTGCCCTCCCTAACGGCCCTCGCGCCCGTCCTAGCTGGCCCCGCGCCCGTCCTAGCGGCCCCCGCGTCCGTCCTAGCAGCCCCTGCGCCCGTCCTAGCCGGCCCCGCGCCCGTCCTAGCGGCCCCCGCGCCCGTTCTACCGGCTCCCGCGCCCGTCCTCACCGGCCCCGCGCCCGTCCTAGCGGCCCCCGCGCCCGTCCTAGCTGGCCCTGCGCCCGTCCTAGCGGCCCCCGCACCTGTCCTAGCCGACCCCGCGCCCGTCCTACCGGCCCCCGTGCCCGTCCTAACGGCTCCCGCGCCTGTCCTAGTCGGCCCCGCGCCCGTCCTACCGGCTCCCACGCCCGTCCTAACCGGCCCCCGCGCCCATCCTACAGGCCCCCGCGCCCGTCCTAGCCGGCCCCGCGCCCGTTCTACTTGGCCCCCGCGCCCGTCCTACCTGGCCCCCGCGCCCCTCCTCGCCGGCCCGGCGCCCGCCACTGCTGGCTCCCGCGCCCGTTCTGCCGACCCCTTGCGCGCCCTGCCCGTCGATCTCCGGCCCCGTGCTCACCTTCCCGCTGGACTGCCGCTGATCTGCGTGCGGCCCGCTCTTCGTGCCTGCTACTCCACTGCACCCTCCCTGGTACGGTTCCCCATCACCTTTCACTACAGTGCACCCCCCTGCACTGCACTGCACCGCACTGTACCGTGCTGCACCGCACTGTACTGCCCTGCACCGCACTGTACCGCCCTGCACTGCACTGTACCGCGCTGCACTGCCTCACCTGGCCCTGCGCTGCACTGTTCCTGATGGCGGCGGAGCTTCGCTTCGACGCTGAAGGCCAGCCTCTGGAGTTCGAGGCGTGGCTAGCCGACCTCCGCCGCCACCTCACTGGTCAGCGGCAGGATGGCCACCCCCTCTCGGCACACCTTGACGGTACGCTTCCCTGCCTAGACCCCCCTGCTGTGCTGCCCGCTGACCCCACACCTGCTGAGCGCGAGTCTACTGCGGCCGTTGCCCTCGCTCGCTCTGTCTGGCTTTCCCGTGACGCTGTCGCACAGCTTGCCTCCCCCCGTCCGAGCGTCCTCGCTTTAGGTCTATCACCACCGCCCAGGCTTTCTTAGATGCTGTTATCCGGCTCTATTCCGCCCCGCCTGCTGCCTCGGTGGGTCGCCTGATCCTACTGATGCTCTTTCCTGACCTTGCGTCTTTCCCCACTGTCGCTGACCTGGCTGCCCACCTGCGCACGATAGATGAGACCTGGCGCGCTGCCTGCACTGACGCACAGCTTAGAGCCCACCAGCCGCCCCTTACCTCTTCCCTCTACCTCCTTGCCACCCGCCTCCCTGACCGCCTTGCTGCTGCTCGTGACCGTTTCCTTAGCATCCACCCCGTGACCTCACCCTCACAGACTTTGTAGACACCCTGACTGTTATTGAGACCCGCTACTGCTCTATCGCCCAGGCGAGCGGTACTGTGCCGGTCCCTATCTTTCAGGGTTGTGCCCCCGCTCAGTGCACCTTCTCCGATGGTTCTGCAGCTGTGGCTGAGACCGCCGCTGCAGCGCAGTTCCGTCCGAGGAAGGGCCGCCGCCCCAAGGCTGGGCGCGGCGGAGGGGGTGGGGGTGCAGGTGGAGGTAGTGATGGAGTCGGGTCGCCTGGTGGTGGAGAGGACGAGGGGACCCTTCCGTGTTCGGCTGAGCAGCCGCCCTAGCAGCCGCAGCAGCAGCAGCAGCCGCAGCAGCCGCACCAGTCGCAGCAGCTGCCGCAGACGAGGCAAGCGAGTGCCCTCCCGCCCGGGTGGCCGGGCGCTGGTGGTGGTTGTGCGCGTGGTGGTGTGCCGAGTGGTGGTTCGGGAGGCGTGTGCTGTCAGTACCAGATCTAGACCGGTCCTCGCCGCGGCTTCGTTTGGGGTAAGATCGGTCACTCCACTGCCCGCTGTTTTCGTTGCCTGGACGACCTGTTTCGTCAGCGCTTCGGCCCGTCGCCCGATCTCCCGGACTGGCACAGTTTGCTTAGTCGTAGAGTTCAGATTTTTGACATGGACATGGATGCCATTGTTTCTGCCCTGCATGTGATGTATACTGATGACTCTAGTGTGCTCCCCTCTTATTACTCCCTGTCGCCTAGTGTAGGTGTGCCTAGTTTAGCCTCCCCTGCTGCGTCAGGCGTAGGAGCTCCTGTTTTGTTTAGCCTTGGTGCTTCTGCCGTCGTCCCGTCGCCAGACGCAACTGCTTCGCTTTCCTTCACCTTGGACTCTGGCACTTCACGGTGTTTCTTCCGCGACTCTACTACGCTGACGCCGCTTCCTGATCCTGCTGAAGTTTCTCTTGCTGACCCCTCCGGCGGCCCAGTAGTCACTCGCAGTTCCACCACCCTTCCCTGTCCGGCGGTTCCTTCGGGCTCTCTCACAGGTCTGCATATCCCCTCGTTCTCCAGGAACCTAGTTGGTGTCGGCTGCCTCCAAGACCTTGGTGTCACCACTACGTTCCCTGGTCACGAGCGGTATGCTGTCTGTACCGAGGCGCCATTGGTGCCCCCCTGTCCACGTTCCCCCGGGACCCGATGTCCAGCCTGTTCACCCTGGACACCGTGACCCCCACGGCTGGGGCGCCCCTTCAGGTGGCTGCTGCCTGCTCCTGTCGGTCCCTCACTCACCCGACATTCCTTTGGCACCACCGCCTAGGTCACCCTGCGCTCCCGCGTCTGCGTCACATGTCCCAGCCCGGTCTCGTCCTTGGTCTCCCTGGTTTGTTCCCCGCTTTTCCCTCCTCCCCCGCCCCACCTTGCACGCCTTGTGTCGAGGGCCGGCTTCGCCATGCCCCTCACTCCTCCTCGTTTCCCCCTACCGCCGCGCCTCTGCAGCCCTGCACATGGACGTCTGGGGCCCCACCCCCGTCCATGGGCCGCATCGAGAGCGCAACTTCCTCGTGCTTGTCGACGACTTCACTCGCTACACTACAATCTTTTCCCTGGAGCAAAAGGCCGACGTGCCTGACGCTCTCATCCCCTGGCTTGTTGCTGCGCGTGTCCACCACGGTCTCCCTGTCTTGCGTCTTCACTCCGACCGTGGTGGCGAGTTTGCCTCAGGTGTCCTTGGTCGCTTCTGTCGTGCGGAGGGCATCACCCAGTCGTTCACCCTACCGGACTCCCCACAGCAGAATGGGGTCTCTGAGCGACACATCGGTTTGGTCATGGAGGTGGCTCGCACCTCCATGATCCATGCCGGTGCACCCCATTTTCTGTGGCCGTTCGCCGTGCGCTACGCTGCTCACCAGCTTAACCTGTGGCCGCACCCCCAGCAGCCACACGTTTCGCCGACCCCTCTTTGGACCGGGTCTCCTGGTGACGCGTCTGTATTCCACGTCTGGGGCTGCCTTGCTCACGTTCGTGCCTCTGGCACGGACAAGCTCACTGCCCGCACCCTTCCCTGCGTCTTCCTAGGTTTCCCCCAGTGGCACTTCTACCACCCGCCGTCTCACCGCTTCTTTCACTCTCGCGACATCACCTTTGATGAGTCCGTCTCCTTCTACCGTCGCTTCCCCCACCGTAGTCCCCCTGTTAATCCCCCCCTGTTCCTGATCACTCCTTCCCTGGTGGTCCCTGCCCCCCCCCTCACCCTCCCCGTCCTGCCCCCTCCAGTGTGTCCCACGTCACCCCTCTCCCGTCGTTGTCCCGGTCGAGGAGTCTTCTGACTCTGGTGGTCCCGCGGCGCAGTCCTCGCCGTCTGCCCCTCCCCCGGTGTCTCCTCCTCCGCTGCCTCTGCAGCCGCCGTTGCCTCTGCTGCCACAGCCGTCGTCTCCTCTGCCGCCGTCGCAGCAGCCGTTCGTTGAGTCTGAGGGTGCTGGCGTTGGAGTGGGTACTAGCCCCGGTGGCCCTGGGGGTGGTACCGGTGCTCGAGGGGTTCCGGGCTCTGGGGGTGTTCCTTCTGAGGGTGCTGGTGTGGAGTGTCCCGGAGGTAGCCGAGGAGCAGCTTGCGGTCCCGGTGCCGCTGTTATGCCACCGCAGCCGCAGTCCCCGCCGGTGTCATCCCTTCGCATGCTTGGTCTTCCACCCCCTGACCCTGCATCTGTTCCTCTCCTGCCGTCTCCTCCTCTTCCCGTCTACGGCCCCGTGTTCCCTCCGCCGGACTCGTCCCCAGCTCGTCTTCCTCCTCGCTCCCCCCTTGTGTCCCCTCCTCTGTCTCCTGACCGGACTCCTCCGTCTCATGTCTGGTCTCGCCGTCCCTCCCGTGCTCGTCCTGTCTCCCCTGTATCGCGCTCTCACCCTATGTTGCTTCGTTCCCACGCGTCTCGTCCTCCCCTTCTCCCGTTGCCCCCTCCGTCCTCCCTTGTCGTTGCTCCCCCCCCTCTGTCTGACTACCTGTGTGCCGCCCGTCCTCTTGTTCCTCGGGTCCTTGCCTCTCTTGTTACTGACCCGTCTGTTCCGGTTTC